ACTGCCAGCTGGAGGCTAATGTAAAGGCAAAGGAGCTGAAGGAACACTCTTGTTCAGGAGTCTCTGCAGTTCAGGAGAGACAGCACACACCTGACCTGGTCTCGGAGAGACCTCCCATTAAACCTGCGCCTTGTATCACCGGGCTCCTGGGCCCTCCAACTGGATCATCGAGTAGGGGGTTTCCTGCCTTCCCGCTATTCAGTGATTCAGTGAGACCCCTCCTCTTGGTCCCTGTTGGCTCTTCCTTTGTTCGGCATGTTGTTGTAACAAACAAATAAGTTCTGGACCCCAAGATGAAGCAGAACAAGTGAGTTTTATTGCATGCAAGGAACAATACAATCTGAATTGTTCAAAGGTTATAGGTGCAGAGCTCCAGTCTATATAACAAACTTCCACCATTCCTGATGCAAATTGTTACCATGGTAATGGGGGGAGGTCACCTGCGTTCTCGAGGTGAACGAGACATTCTCAAGACCTTGAACACTTTGAATGGCCGGTCTCATCTTCCCATAGTTGGGGAGCCTCCAGCTCGCACTTGGAATCTCTTATCAGTTAACTCCCGTCCTTGTCATAACTCAAAAGTGCTGAAGAATAGTATGTTTTGTACCAAAAGACGTCTTTGTGCAGAGAGAAATCAGTTTACCCTTTTATCACATCTCATATCTCATATCTTTCTTCAACATCGACCTTTGGGCTTGCAAACCTGCACCCCTGGGTACTCCCAACAGCTGCCCTTCTAAATCCATTCAGGTCCCTTTTTTTCAGGAGGCTCGCCATTCCATTCCTTCCTGTACTTGAGACCCCCTTATTCCGACTGTTGGGCTGTATATGGCAGCTTGTATTGGGCTGGTAATGTGTCCGGCCTGCCGTTCCCTCTTTTCACCAGGGATGTAGAGAGCCGGTTTCTCTTAGGACTGACGCACCTTCCCCCTGTTTCCTTTCTCTTTTCCAGTACCGACCTGGCCTGGGGTGATGGAGCCCCGCCGGCCAGTGATCAATTATTCTATTATCACCTCCTTCCCCTTTTCACTCTCCATCTGAGCACTCACATCCCAGACTCAGTCAGGTCTCCTCAGATCCTTTTGCACTTCTGTTCTGACTAATCAACACCCACCCGCAGTGTCGCAAACTGAAATTTTGAGATCTCTTTGGCAAGTATTTGTGATGCATTTTAATCTCTGCATTCTGTTTCCAAGAATGTTCATACAGTATATCAATAACGAGTGGCAGGGGGGTCATGCTAGTGAGCACTGCTGAACTGCTTTTTTATTTTTAGGCTTTTATTCTGATTAATACGGCACCATTAACACATTAACCAAAAGCCCTGTTACAAGATTTCCTCCTTGCTCAGTTGAGAGCCCCGTTATCTCAGCATCACAGAGGTTTTACAAGTTGTCTCATCTGAAAAAAGCAATAGTTTGGCTTGTTTCTGGGCTGAAGAAAATCAGTACGACGTGTTTCTAAGGAAAATATTTTCTACACGCAGATTATCAGGCGATCTTCTCATCGAGTGACAAAAGCCAGATGAGCAAAATCTACCTTCAGAATGGAAAGGATGTGCCCCAGATACGTGAAATGTGAACCTTTTGAAGGTGTGTGATCTTCTTTCGCCTCCTTCAGCTGGGGTCGTGTGAACTTGACTTGCACGCAGGCCACATTTCCTTTCTGTGCTCATGCTGTGTAAAGATTATGAGGAAAGAAAAGAAACCACAATTACAGCAAGTTGAAGAGGAAGGGGCACACATGATTGGAGATAAGGATGAAGGGAGAAACTGCCTCATACGGGTTTGTGAGCTGCCATTTTTCCGTTCGTAATGTTTTGTATCATGTCTAAAAAACACATTATTATTACACCAAATATCGTTTTGCTTTTGGTGTCAGGACTCATTTCTGAATGGGAGGAGCAGTCAGTGTGACCATGTCTGAGTCATTACAGACTCACCTAGAGACGTTGCTGCAAGTTCTGAGTCATTTCTGAAAAAAAAAAAACACAGCTTCCTGCTCACAATCACTCACAAGGAGAACGAAAACACCGACAAAATGTATCAAGAACAAGAGGAAGATTACACACAAGAGGAGGTCACTGTGTAGCCTTCCCTATGTGCTTTTTCATTATGGATTAAAAACGGATCTACTGTAAATGTAAAAGGAGTCACCTGGACTCAACGGAAAGAAAGCTTTTTGTCACGGCTCGTGAGAGAAGAGAAGCTCCAGGGTGATTCAGAGTGACTCCAATGGTAAGAACACTGGTTTGGATCACAGGTGTGAGTCCTACATCATCTCTGCTGAAAGTCTGGGCTGTCAGCCCTGAGCAGAGGTCCACGCCAGGTGGACCTCCACTGGAATCTGGTGGGTGGAGACAACCAGTGGATTGCGACCTTGTCCTCGAGATCTGGCAGTGCAAGCTGTGTTGCTTGTACCAGACGTGGCTACATTGGCTGCTGATCTCAGGGTGGAAACTGGCGGATGACACAGCCATCACAGTGTCCTACAATGTAAAGAGGCCATTGCATTTAGTGCAGGTCATGAGGAAAAACAGTGGCACGGACTCAGGCTCTTTTGTACCTGTGGCAGGCCAGCTAAAGCAAAGGGGTGCAGATAACAGCCAAACAACCACTAGAGGACACTACAGTGGGCCTTTTGAGTTTTCAATAATAATAAGACTTCCTCATACTTATACAGCACTTTTCTGGACACTCCACTCAGAGCACTTTACAGGTAATGGGGATCCCCTCCACCACCACCAGTGTGCAGCCCCATCTGGATGATGCTCTCCAGTTCTCTCCCCACACACCAGCTCTCAGTGTGGAGGAGAACAGAGTGATGAAGCCAGTTCATAGATGGTGTTTATTAAGAGGCCATGGCTGGTAAAGGTCAATGGGAAATTTGGCCAGGACAGCAGGGTAATACCCCTACACTTTTCTAGAAATGCCCTGGGATTTTTAATGAAGATGGAGAATCAGGACCTTGGTTTTACATCTCAATTGAAGGATGGTACAGTACACTATACTGGGGCATTAGGACCCACATAGACTTTAGGGTGAGTGCCCCCTACTGGCCCCACTAACACCTCTTCTAGCAGCAACCTGAGCTTTCCCAGGAGTCTCCCATCCAGGTACTGACCAGGCTCACACCTGCTGAGCTTCAGTGTATTGCCAGTTGTGAGTGATATAGGGTGATACAGCTGCTGGATGCTGTTTTTATGAATGTAGACCTGGTTGAAGGGAGGAAACCTAAAAAGTAACCCAAAAGTAAACTCGCATTTAAACATTGACCTTATCCTCCTCTGCATCCATCTCCTTCTCCAGTTGTCCACTTCTTTGAGAAGCACTCATGTTTGTGGGGATTTCAACAGGTGAAGCCCTGAGTTGTTTGGAATGGAGGCGTATCTATAACAATAAACTATAAGGTATATGTAACATATTGCTTAAAAATCAATAAACACATAATACAATATTACTGAAATGAGCCTTTTTGTTGTTTATGAAACTCTTGACCCGGATAAAATTACAAGCACACTTCCTGAGGTGTACTCTGTGTTTACAAAGCCTTTTGTACTTATTATATTTATTGCAAGGTACTGTATGTTATTTGTATTCATGTTATTGTATTCTATTTTCTCTATATAATATATTTTATATATGTCATAAGTTTTTATGAGGTTCCAAAATGTTAAGCATACCAATTAATACATTTGCTCGCATTTAATATGGACAATGTGAACTTCCTCTGAATGACAAATAGAAATTGAAGTCGTTAGTCTGGAAATTATTTTTATTGCAATAACAAAAGTGATATGAAAGACAGTAATGAGTAGTCTGTGCATTAACAGATTGGTCATAAGCTGAAACCAGTGAGAAAACCACTGTTACTACTACTATCCATGCACGTATACTTATTTGCTTTGAAGGTGGATATAATTTTTTTTTTCAAAATAAAAATAAGCATGTGAACAAAAATGTATCATGTATCTGTATTGATCAGATGCATCTGAAAACCGGAAATAATAGCTGATGATCAAATGTGTTCCCTCACTGTCTATCACCACTTTTACAAAAGATTTGCAGTACATTAAATTAGCTCAGGGCTGGCGTGACTACTATAGCTATGACCTGATTCAACTGACATATTAGCAATATAGTAATTTTGCAAACGAAAGAAAAACCAGCTTTACAAATTCCTAAACTTAAATTTACAAAACTTGAAGGAATATCAAGATTTCACAAATCCAAGGAATATCGAACAAGAGAAACCTGGAGAATGGAAAAGAGGATGAAGAAGACTGGACGGGGTGAAGGGAAATTCCTCAAATGACAAACCCAGAGCTGCAATCGGAGTGCAGCACACGCAGGGACAGACTCTCCTAGTCTCAGCACAGCACAGTCTGATATCTGATATCCCAATCAGGTCTCCAGGTCTCCAGTTTTACGGCCGTATACAGAATGTACTTGGTGCTAAAAAATAAAAAATAAAATGAAATTATAAATACGTTTTAAAGTGCAGTACGGTGAAAGTTTCTGGTTACCACTTCCAGGACCTAGTTGAAAAACCCAGAAACGTACAGTAAACATACAGTCAGTGTGGATTGAAATGCTAAATGTCTCAGGATGGGAATCACTTTGTTTTTTTTTTTAAAAAAAACAGAAATGGAGAAATCGGTGTTGCTGCGCTCTAAGGTTGCTGCACTCTCTGCTAATGAGAGGTACATTAGGGTCAGATTTATTTATGAAAGCAGGCGATAAACCCTAGTCTGAGTCTGGATTCCTGAGCTGGAATTCCATTGTCAACATACGAAAAGACAAATTCCTAATACAAGAAATAGTATGTGGCCAATAAAGTTTTGCTAAGCATTAAGCTTTTATGGACTTGTTGTTTTGAAAGTTAAATGCAGGTGGTTTGAAGATTCAAGTTCTACTTTTCAATCACCATGTGTCTCACTTGTTGGAATATGTCTTCTTCATTTTCATCTGCAACTTCAAGAGGTTGGTTTAATGATTCCATAAATACTTGCTGACAACACTTACAAATTCATTTCATTCAATTCAATTTCTTATCTTATTATTGTTCTAATCTTTGTGACAAAGCAGACAATTACCGGAAGCCGAATGAACAATGACTGTAGACATGGTGGTGGTCTTACCAAGGACTGTTACACGATAGATGTTGAGTCTGTGTTTTTTATCTTCTTTATCACTCAGTACAGCTGTGTAAATTCCACTGTTTCTGTGACTCAGGTTTGTTAGTGTAAGGGAATAATCTGTCTCCTTAAACACTACTTGATTCTTGTACAGGAATACGGTGTGTCCTCCAGTCGCCATTTTCAGTATGGTAACCTCTGTGTTTTCTGTTTTCAGCATCCACTCCAACATGTTCATCTTTAAGTCCCCAGGTACGTCCACAGTCAGGGATAGAGAACTGCCTGGGATGGCGTAGATAATCTTTGCACGGTTCTTCTCTTCAGCTCTGTCATCTAGGAATGGAAAGGGGATCATACTTAATTGGTTGGGTGAAACAGATTTCATAATACATTTCTGTGCATCGTGGGGCTGGTTCCTCAGACCCATTTCAAAGACAAGGCCTGGCTTGATTCTTTCCTACAGAACACTGCAGCTATTCTGCAGTGAAATATAGTTTATTTTCTGCAAAGCTTTGTATCTTCCTTGACCTTCTTCATTCATAG